TAACCCCAAAAAAAGTAAAAAATAATCAAAAAACTAAAAAAAGGTTGTGTGTGAGTTTTTAGTAAACTTCCTCGAATCTGGGTGAGCTCTACGTGCTGAGGAAGAGATAACGTCGATTTTCAGTCGATCCGACGGCCAACAACCCAGAAATATACTTCAAAATATGAGTAGATAGGATCAGGTAAGTTCTTATACTTTATCAATACTGAAGGCATATAAGAAGATCGACTTCTTTGAAGGGAAAAAATATTTTTGAAAAAAGGCGAGCATATTATTGTAGCCCGTCAAAAGGCGGTTCGAATGGTCTATAACAGAGCCCGTTTATTTTCAAAACCAGGAAGGAGATAGGTTTGCCCGACCGAGGTCTCAATCTGGGTCTGACATCCACGGACAGCGATAGGCGGAGGTCAAAAATTTTCCAAAGTCACTTGGATCTACTAAACTTTTGATGCTGAATTCAAATAAAATAGGGAGACAAATTTTTGTGGCCCACAAAGTGGTGAAAACCTTCAATTTCTCGAAAACAGGCGGTTTTTTCGTTTTTCAACTTGTTCTGCCGTTCGTTTGACTTAAAAAAATTTTGAAGCTCATATTCGTGATTAGCTCGGCGAGCTTTATCTAACCATGTATAATTCGACTAGATTCGTTTTTGTCACGGTACTTTTGAATTTCCGGCACCTTACACAATAGTCATTTTCTCTAGACTTACGGTCAGAATAGTTGACCTAGAAAAACATTGATTATCAATGAAAGAATAGGCATTATACATGTCTCTGTAAATAGAATGCTTTTCCGCACTTCTATTGCCATTGCATCGGTCAGCTAGCTTACTACCAGTGTGTACGAATACGCCACGCGAACATTTAGTAAAATATTTAAACCAGTCAGTATTTTTCACAAGTATAAATTGTTTTGTTTCGTTAGCGTAGGATAGGAAATAGGAGAATTCTACAATTTAGTTGTGGCACAGACCATATAGTTTTCAACTCGTTTTGGGAATTAATTTTTATAAACGTGGCCACATGTTTCATCGTAGACACAGGCAAACGCGTTTCTTTCGCATACTCAAATCCGTTTGAGATATCGAGAGTGAAAATGGATTTTTGAGGTGCTAGTTTTAATCACGGTGAAAAACGACATGAGACTTGTGACTATGAGGTTGATCTGAGAGGGCGCCGATTTTGCCTCTTATCTACCCCCTTCCTTTTATAACAAGCAGTATAATCTAGGCCAAGAACCGGATCTCTGGAAAGAAGATAATAGTAAAATAAATCTAGTATTAGAACGGAACCCATAGGGCTCGTTGATGTCTCATTTTCAGAGAAATGTTTGCTGTTGTTTTCTATCACTTACGAGGGAAGGCCACCAAGCGTCTCATCGCTTTTCGCCTGAAACTTAGTGGATAATCGGTAATCGAGTGTGCTGAATCCGAATATCACAATGGTTTTCCTCCAAAGGTCTCTACAGATCCCGGTTTTTGCAAAATCAGTTCTTCGAAACTTTAAAAAAATAACCAAAGCTCTGATTCTAGCCTGCACATTTGTGATTAAAATGAGACACCTCCCAGCTCTACACGACCTTTCTTTGCAAAGGTATAGAATTTACAAGAAAAGCCCTAAACTAATTTCTTCTTATTCCTGTAGCTTTGACCTAACAATGAACATTTAGGGCTTTTTTGTAAATTCTATAACTTTGCAAAGAAAGGTCGTATAGAGCTGGGAGATGTCTCATTTTAATCACAAATGTGCAGGCTAGAATCAGGTCTTATTAAGAAAGGCTTTGGTTATTTTCTACAGTTTCTGAAAACTGATTTTGCAAAAACCGGGGACTGCAGAGACCTTTAGGGGAAAACCATTGTGATATTCGGATTCAGCACACTCGATTACCTATTGTTCACTAAGTTTTAGGCGAAAAGCGATGGGACGGTTAGTGGCCTTCCTTCGTTAGTCCTAGATAGTTAAACATATTGCCATGTCCAAATACACGATCTTATAGAATGAACATCAGTCTTTCAAATGAGTCATGAACCAGTCATAGGAGTTTGATAGTTTTTGAGAAAATCAAAAGCTGCAAAGGTAAAAAGTAACAACATTGTAACCATTTTCCATAGTGTGATACACCAATCAGTAGCTTCAATATCTATCATTCTATATGTAAATCGTTATCACATTGCCTGAAAATTGAAATGACTATATTTCAGCCACCAGTTACATATTCTAGAGAGGAAAAAGAAAATTTTGGAAGAGGGTCGCTCCCTTAAAAAAACGTTTTCCGTCTTTTTTGATTTTTTGAGAACTCATCAAAGGTCTATTAAGCGTTCATGGCTTGTTCGAAAGAGAGATGCATGTTTTTCAATATTCTTTAAATATAGACCGCTCATATAGCAGTCCCAAAGACAATTCTGCATCGATTCATATACAATACGACGCTTTTACACATGAGCATAATATACTTTTAAATCAAATATTCGAGATAAACATAGGTCTAGGCGTTCTTCATCTTTTTGCTACTTTTTGGTAAACTTTGGTTCATATATCAGATTGTAGAGCGAATTCTGACCTACAAAATGCGCTATTTGAGTTTTCCTATAAAACATCTAAATTTTGTTTTTTTTACCGTCGTTTTTGAAAAATCGATTTTTTGACCAGAATCTATCTTACGTAGAAATAGCTTCTCAGAAAATGCTTATAGCTTCACTTGTATCAAAGCTACATTAGAGTTCGACATCTCATTTGGTAGAACACTGTCCAATCACCATATTTAACTGTTTTTAGTACCTTCGCATTGAGAGTTACTAGAGAGACAAATGTCAATTTGTTCGTCAACCAAACCACTTTTCGGCCATGTTCAAAGATTCTCTCATGAGCCTCGTATAAAAACAAATAAAAAACTTTTGAACCCATATTTGGAAGGAGCACAAAATTCTGATATTCACCTATAGTTTTTTCTTCATCTACAATACTTCTAAGTAGGAAATTTCTGAACTCATATTCGAAAAGAGCATAAAATTTTGGTCCTTACCCATCCTTTTGCATTCATCTAGGATACTATCGGACGGGTGAAAAATAAACAAACATTTTGTCCAGAAACTTTCGCACCACCCGTTATTATCCTTTTCAAAACAGAATGCGTCCAGCTATTTTTGAATAACACGGGATAGAAAAGAGATGAAGACATGTGGTTTTTGCCATTCGATAACCAAGGCTTTAAAGTATCTTTTATTAAGTGAAAAAGCCTTTGAAGTTATCTTCCAACAGTCGATTTTTTAAGGGATCTTTGGAAAACCATTGCAGAATGTGAAAAGTAAAATAGCAATATATTAGCTCTTTTACATGGATAGATAGCCCAAAGGATCCTCTTCAAAATCGAAAGATATAGTAATTACGAAGATAAATGGAAATGCAGGTAATTGACAACGCTGCATCTCGTGAGCAGCATTCGTTTCTCGAAAAAAATTCAAAAACGTTGTGAAAACGTATGTTAGCTGAATCTGCTTATTTTTGTATAAAATCGGAAAAACGAATATCAAAACGTACGCTGTTCTATCTACGCTATAGCATGAAGTTTGATAAAACCTCTTGACATCAGCGTAAAATACTTTGGTTTGTGAGAAAGTTTTCTATGAGTTTTTCAGAGTAAAAGAATATATTTTACTAATTCTAAGCAAAAAATCAGATTGAGCTGATATAATAGAGTATATCTTGATATTCTGACGTACTTTGGATCAGTTTTGAATGAGTTATGAATTTTCTACTTTTACGCGCAAATAGGCAAAAAGGGGTTACTTCACCATATATTGCTCTGTTAAATTTTCGGGTTATACAACGAGTTTTCAAAGATCCTGTAGAAAATCGGTTATTGAAAACCAACTTCAAAAGCATTTCTGCTGATGAAAAGATGCTATAACGTCTTGGCATTCGAACGCATGTTCGTCCTTTTGTAAATCTATGAAGTTATTTTGCTCAAAAGGTATAGTCAAATATTTTATATCATATTCTGAATGTAGTTTAGTTTTACAACCGCTTATTAGCTACTGAGACTAAAAACAGCAGTCATCAGCAGCGATGAGCATACTTGAATGTTCGACTCTTTTGGAATCATTATATCCGAAAGAATCAAAGCAGATATCATAACCGGTTTCAACCTTTCTAAAGGGTCTCGTAAGGTGATCTCCTTCGACAACAACAGCGTTAACGCACGACAAGGAACATCACTCACGAGGAAAGGACACCAACTGTCTAATCGCTTTTAAGCAAAGACCCACTGGACAATAGGTAATCAGGTATTCTGAATCCGAATATGACAATGGTTTTTGCTGCTAGACCTTGGAAGGCTGAGTTTTCTAGAAAACCAGAGTTTAAGGTTGAAAAAGTTTTTGTGGCCAAAATTTTCTTTTGATGTGTTCAGCTGCAATAGTACATTGAAAAACCTATGAGAACCTACTTTTCAAAATTTTTGGAGGGTTTTGGAGCGGTTTGTATAGGTCATAATCTAAAATACAGACGGAAAACGGGTATTTCGCTCCTATGCATGTGACGTAAGAAACTGAGTGATTTCTAGGTAATCAAGTGTGCTGATTTCGAATTTGAGCACGAGGGATCTTCTCTCTAGTCGTCGGAGTCTTTTTACGTGAGATACGTAGGAACGAAATATTGGGTTTCTTCGGGCCGTAAATTTTTGGATTTCTCAGACTTTTAGATTTCTTTGACTTTTAGCTTTTTCGAGTTTTAAATTTCTTAGACTTTCGAATGACTTACAGTTTTGAATTTTTTAGACTTTTAGGGTTTTAGATTTCATAGACTTTTGGATTTCTTAGACGTTTAAATCTTTTAGACTCGTAGAATAAAAAAAGTTAATTTCTAGTTTTTGAAATGATATGTGAGGTTCGTGTTTGCCGATGAGTAGCAGAGCGATTGACGAGATGCCTGTGCATGTTTCAAACCTATGTATTGTTTTTGGTTGAGTGATGAAAGATTTGTTTTCCCTTCATTAGAATGATCATGCGTGTCGGCGAGAGGTTAAGGGGCGGTTCTGGAAACTATTGCTTTATTTTGACGAAGGTCAGCTTTTTGAAAAAACGGTTGGAATGCGCTCATATTTTGCTCTGTTCTTTTACTGAATTCGATATTTTTTGTTTTTTCAGCTGCTAGTTTGCCGAGTACTAAATGTTACACTTCATCAAAGGAACTTTACTGTAATGGTACAGGTGTAGTGTTTATAATTCCTGATGGATGTATGGATGATGGTGGCATTGATTCTGTTGGTGATTCACTTGAAGTTTATTGTGTTGACCATATAGCACGATTTTGTCTGTCTGGTGAAGCTTGTCCATGGCGTTCCCCTGTGCTCCCATATACTCCTCTAAGTGAGAGACAAACATGTTCACCAGCTGGATTAACATCAGATTACATGGCTAATGCTTCTTGTAGTCTATGGAATAATCATACAAACTATAATTGTTGTACCAATGGACAAATTTATTTTTAGATGCGACAAGTTGAGGTTTATGTGTGTTGTGAGACGCTTTTCGCCTGCTTTACACAGTTGGATGTGTCGCTTTGTATGCTTTGAAAGTCTGGATGTGAAGTTTATTTGGTATTCCACGGTTTTTTCAAGTTTGTTGTTTTGCGTGTTTGTTTTTATGTTTATGGTATGTGTATTTTTTCTTTTATTGAAAGAATTTCTGTATTGGTAGTGGAAAACTAAAGTCGGTGTTCGCACACTTGTAGATTGCATGTGCACGGAGGTATGTATTTTTAGTTAAACTGCGTATAATGCGAACTTGCCCTCACTTCGATGGATGTGTTCATTGATTTTTTCCCCCTGAGCAGGAACACCATGGTCGCAAGCGTACCAATGTCGTCCCGATTAGATGGTCAATCTTAAGTATCAGGCGAAAGATGTTACTAGTATCGAAAACTGGCCAGACGGTCAAGGAAAGTATCTGCTATCTGATAGATATCAGATGTCTCATTTGTTATGATCTGTTTTTGTGACGATGTAACACCATCTACCGTTTTTAGGATTTCTCTGTCAGAAAGGTAGCTGGCAAACCAATTCACTAAAGTTAGAGGTACTCCGTTTGTTTTTAACTTTGCTAATAGCCCTTTATGCCAGACGATGCCAAATGTTTTCGATAGAACGCATACTAGAATGACAGGACGATAGTTGTGTAGCTCATGAGGATCTTCTGACTTGGAAATTAGTATCACATAGGCAGGTTTCCAGGCTTTAGGAAAATATTCTTGTTTCAAACACTCATTGAACAAACGAGTTATAATAGGTGTTATAATTGGAGCGGCGTCCGGTACTACTCTCTCTGACAAATCAGATGTGCTGGCCTTACTACAAACAACCCTGCACAGCATTTTCAAAAACTTCTGTCTTGGAAATATGAAACCTCGACATAGAAAACTTGTTTGGTGTAGCAGCAACAGTTAGCACATCATTCACTTCCCCAGCTGACATAGAAGTGACAGCTGCCAAGTGCATATTGAACCAAACGATAAGTCAAGAATGTCCAAAATCTTGGTGTCAAGGAATTACAAGATGTTCAGCTCATGACTTGTTGAAATTTCTAGGGTTCTCATATTTTCTTACCAAGATCTTGAATCAAAATCTTACTAAAAAAGTTCCAAAAGTTAAGGTCTTGTTTACAAGAAGTATCACTAAGGTAAACACTGACATTGACGCTCAGATAAACATTTGTATTAGTCAAATTC